TAATAATAATGATATATTTTTTGGCTTAAAAAAGAAGCTCGAAGCACATTAAATTGTATTGCTTACAGTTATAATTCAATTGTAGCATTAAAACAACCAAGTTTTTTAAGCGACACTTGAAGACATAGTTTCCTCACTATATTGTAACACGTGCGTACACTTAGACAGTAACATATTGATGAAAGCAATCATTCATTAATTTTTCATTATCGATAGAATTGTTGTAACTATTTATTAGTTATTCGTTATCGCCCGATAATTTCTCAATGATTTTCTGTAAGTCGTTGTGGTTAGAAGCTAAATAGAATAAACACTTAGCTTAAACGCTTGAACGCTTCAGGGCATACAAAACACTCTTTAGCCCACTTGAAAGACGTGGAGATAATAAATCACAATGCAAAGACATATCTTGAGACGACCCCGTTACAATAACCGCGGGCGTTATGGAGGGTTCATGACCTTTCCCATACGGCACAAAGACTTGACGACTTGAACTTCCGCCAGCACGTCTCAATGTCTTTGTTAAATATCTGGTGTCTTCTCGCTTGAATAATATTAAGAAAGTTTTCGATTTCGGGCTTGGGGTTATTATTTTTTCTTACAATAATTTGTATGTTTGTACTTTCTGTATAAAAATAATTATGACAGCCTTTGTAGCCTATATTTGTTATTATAAATATTTTCATAATAGATTACATATTGTTTTGTTTTATGAAGTAACAATGTAATATTTCATTGTGAATTATGTGTATTCTGAAAGACAATTTCATATATTAATAGTCTCTCGAAATCCTTTTATGAATTTATGATATGCCATTTCTATTACTCATACATAATTAAAAAAGGAGTTATTTTATTTTTTGCTTTGCTCATTACATAATGTATGTCCGACTTTTCGAAACTATATGTAAGTATTAACTGAGTACTTAATTATTATTCAAGACAAATATTTGAAACACGTGTGCATTCTATAACTTATGTTATTTAGCAAATTAATTTCGTAGGTAGTGATTGATGTGATGATAAATATGGGCATCTGATTTTAAATTTAATTTTCATTACTAATTATTCAATTTATGTAGTGTATAATTTAGTATGCCAGAGTTATATAACATAAAAAATAATCCGAGTATATTAGAATAAAGACAAATTCTTATGATTCATTATGAAATGTTTGTTGAGAAAACTAAATAATCGTAGACTCCTTATTAGTTACTCTTACCTCAAGGTAAATATTAGGTTAATTGAAAAAAAAATTAATGCATGTACAAAATTACAATGGGTATTAATTTGCATCCAATGTTGAAAAATATGTAGATGTCTTCAAAAGCAAATAGCTTTAGAGACCCATACCCACCTCATCTCTTGTCAACCAATTACAGTATAATGACAGTGGATCAATAATTAGTATTAAATTAGCAACAGGTCTGTCGATCGTAGTACCTCATGCCGAACGATTCCAAGGAATTCTAGAATTGATTTCTCTACGGTCGCTAATATCACTTTCCCGCCAATCAATATTTTCTTCCACGAGCAGACGTGGAAAAAACGACCTTCACCTTAACCTTGACCGAATTGTACTTTTCCCATAGTAACAGAAAAATCACAGCTTATTAAACTTGCCTATTGTATGTAAATAAATATGCAGTGAAAGATTTAATTATAAGCGGGAATTTTATTTGTTTTTCCATTTACGTAGTAACCCATATTATCGTGTCGTCGATTGCTACCACCTCTCCAACGTAAATAAATGTTTATTTTTATTTCCCCGCCATGTGATTTAATTTGACAAGTTTGATAAAATAATACTTATTTCTTTATAAAACCTAAAATTATTTGCATATATTCATAGCATATTGTTGTGTTTATTATGATTTATATTGCAAATAGCGCCATTTAATAATGTAAAGTTTTTAATTAAGATATACTTGATCGAGCACTGAGATCCCCAATGGTGTTAGATCTATTATTAATAATAATTCTTTTATACAAACAGGGAATTAATTACAATTGGTAGATATAGGTGTATAATGCGACGCGCTAATTAACTGCATTTAATGTTCTGGTCTTGGCCATGATATTAGCAGCACTCTTACTTAAAGATAGGTATATACGTATTTTATCGATGAGGTACGATAAGCAACGTTAAGCAGTAGCTACTAAATAAAACAATTGAAACACATGTTCTTCAATATCTAGATTAAGTAATTTCTTAAAATAAATAGAAAGCACAATGTTAATTCGGATAATTAGCCTATACATATTATAGTTAAAAGTTTACTGATTACGTTTTTCCCAAACAATTTTACTACGCGTCTTTAATATATAGTAAATCATATAACTCACTACCGTAAAAATTACTTATAAAAGTAGTACCTATCATCAAAAATATCGTTTAAATTGTGTTATATTACTGTGAAGGGCAGTAAGTAAAATATTCCTGAATCTGAATGCTACTTTACTTTTTAAACTGGTAAATCACCTAGAGACATGCTCCAATTTGTAATCTTATATTGTGCTCGACACACATAACACCAGACGCCATCATCAAACCAGTATCAGATGCATATATTTAATTTACAATTTCCTTCTCTAAACTCTGCCGAATGTTGCTGTAATATCTCTAGTTAATCTGTATTTCTGATGCATATAAAATGAATGATATTACTGTATATGCAATTCATTGACAAATTCTGGAATATCATTATGTTGATTGTCTGTAAATTTTATAAGCCTACAAATCATTGAGAACAAATAGAAACAATTATAATTTTGTGAAATTTTAATCTCTTCCCTATTATTTTTTTAATTTGTATACAGATGATAGATATATCTGTACACATGACAAATACCCCAAATAATTAAGACTAGAACTTAACGTTTAGAAAATTTAATTCACCCATCTAATATTAATATGCTAAAGATATGTTATAGAATGATACCGTACAATATGCATGGAACGGTTTTCAACTTACATGCATTTTGTCTTGAAGTTTACATAACAAAAAACTGACCAGAAATATTTCTAAAATATCCAGGACCACTTTATGCATTTCAATCAAATCACATTTGAAATCTGTTGTATAAATCTAGAACCCTTCAGACTTATTTTCAGTTGTACCTAATAAAACAGTTTCATATTCCTAAATTGGAAGAAATCTTGCTAATTTCTGCCTAGTCCTGGAGATGTTGTAAAATCGAATTACTCTTCACGTACAGCCACTTGTACTATATAGTGTAATATTATTGTTTTTAATTTAAATTCACAGGTGTTAGAAACAATGCGAAGAATGGCCATTTCTTATGGTCCATTTTACACCTATAAATTAATTTCTGATTGGGTATTTGTGTGGAATATAATATTTTAGAATTTTTCTTTGGCCCATATCAAGTGATTTGAACTCATTTCGTCCATCTTATATTTGACGTATGTATTTTAGCTTATCAAAGACATCTAAGTGAGTAAGTACCTGTTTTATGAAAAGGGTTGTTCTATTTTTAATATTGGAATATGTTAATTTATGTACAGTGTTTAATGTATTTTAGCTTATCAAAGACGTTTAATTGAGTAAGTACCTGTTTTATGAAAAGGGTTGTTTTATTTTCAATAGTGGAATATGTTAATTTATGTACAGTGTTTAAAGTATCAAAATATGACATATAATTCTAATAATTATATGTAATTGCCCCTATTGGTATTCAATTTAAATAATGTGAAGAATTTTCTAAGATAACTAAATATGATATGTCCAATTTATGATTTCATTCATAACAAGAAAACCTTAATTTTTTAAAATAGAAATGAAATGAAATGGGGTTTAACGTCCTATTTTTTTTATTTTTTTTAGATAGAACTGAATGTCGTATTAAACAAATATTAAGTTGAATAAATTAATGTCTTGGGGAGACGCTGTTTTGGGAAATATTTACAATAAAACCCTTACCAAACTAATTCTTCTGAAATCAAGTGGAATATAAATTTATTCCGTGTTTGACATACTTTGGATATGGTAAAATAATGTTAAGGACAGAATGTATTTTAGGAATATATAATATCAACACGTATATCATTAATAGTATTATAAAATACAGCATTGCTGGTAAATATCTTTAGCTTGTGATTTTGTGAAATGGTTTCATTAGAAGGTTCTAAGTACATATAACTATTATAAAGAGACTATGATATTGTCACAAAGTATATACATGTATATTCTATTAGCATGTGATTGAAAATTTGAAAAATATTTAAGCTGTTGTAATTAAATAATGTCCTAATTTAAAGAAACTTAATTAGCGTCGGTCTCTTGAGTTAAAAACGCATTTATTTGTACCTTTAAAAGATTAAATTCAAATATGTATATTTAGATTCTGGATATAATTAATAAATAGTTTAGTATAATTATACATCGAAGGCACATTAAAATTGTACATCAAGCTGTGAAAACAGTTTGTTTATGGCAGAAATTATATGTGTATTAAACATCCTATGTAGAGAAACAATGTAATATTAACTTGTATTTGATGTTACTTTGTGTTAATGTTTAATATATTGTAGTACGCCTTCTTTTTTTAAAATCTATGTTATTTATTATATTTACGTGAATTTAAACAAACAATTTCGCATTAAAGTGGATGATACCCTATAAACCAGAAAACAACTGGAACTACTGGTTGGTTTTTGTTGCTGTTTTTTGTTGTTGCTAAAACGAATTTATCAAGCGGGCTGTTACGTTGAAACTTTGCCCGACTATTTGCACAGACCGATAAACAATATTGACACGGCCCGTATGCACCAGTAAATATCCACCATTACGTCACAAGACTCGTAACGATTGCTTCGCGGAATTTCAGTAATAATCTTACAAATTGTGCATAACTGCTTACTCTGTGATAAAATCTTTGATGCTCTTGATGAAAATTAACTATGTTGGTCTACAAATCTTCAAAATTAACCCCAGTTATAAATTTGGCTCGCGCGTCGCGTGTTGCTGGTATGTAATACAGTCAGCCGCCTGTCACGTGACCCATCTAGGCCAGCAAGATTTGAACGAAAGAGCCAGCAGACTGGAGATTAGGAATGAACCTCGACTGTTTTAACAATGCTTCTGCTGGCTAAAACACAACTATTTCTAAAATATTGATGATCAAATTCAGGTAAGTCTTTATATAGTATGTTTATGTGATCAGTCGTGGTCATCGTGAGCTTTAATCAGGTCAACAGACAAGCCAAGCTCTCCTACTCGAACAAACGATTGCCCGTTTTAGCAAAGCTTGCTTTTCAAAATGGCGACTTATATTCGGCTTTATTTACCGAGTTGCAAATTTTCGCTGTAGTTGACCGATAGATAATTTTTCGGGTTTGACAGTTTTGTTATATGATTAATAATATATTTCTTTATTGGACTAAAATAACATTCTTTAGTAATTAATGATGTTAATATCGAAAGATTGCGGTATTCCGTTGTGACCATGTCAAAATTGTAAAAAAATCAACAAGAATTTTTCCATGGTTTACTAAACTACGTAGATTTCTTACTATTAGACGTAGTTATTGGTTTATTTTGTTATGACGTCATCTTCTGAAATAATTATTCTATCATTCTGTAGTTTTAAAGTTTTCAATTTGTTAGTAATAAAGTCTTTATGAAGAAAACTTATATTGCGTAGTTTAAATTTTCCTTGTGCCGACTTTCAGAAACTAGTGAGATGATATCATATAACATATTTATATACCCATACCTTTAAGTAGTTTAAGCCCAATAATTTAGATTTTAGAAGAAATATTTATTGTAAAAAAAAAACCGCGGTTATTATATTTTTTGATTATTTTGTGAAATTAATCGATGTAACCATAAAGATGGTGTATCTTTCTTTCTATTTAATGTTTTAATAGTTAGATATAATATGTAAAATGTATTGCTATATATCATTAAGAATATTCTGTTTAAATAGTAGGACCGCAACGTGGGGTCTGTGTCGCTTTTGTTATATTAATATGTATATTAAAGATACCTTTGTTTGTTTTATACGGTGACCTCTGGTGACTTGTATCTGAATTATAAAGGACGAAACTTGATACAAATTAGATACAGTTGCCTATTTAGTAATATCACAAGAAAGTCTCTGCGCTCGATATTATTACCTTGTTTCATAATGAAGTAGGGGATTAAACCAATTGTTAGCGCTGAAATGACAGCCGCTTCAGAAATCCAATATTAAAGCTCTTTAACTGATTATAAATCTTCCGACCAATTAAAATCCATGTTATCGTGAAACCATTGCTTACAAAACCCAAACCGACTATCGAGATAATCATCTTGGGATATTTTTTGCGCTCATTTTCATTTTGAATTTTCACCGAGTGTAAATGTATGTAAGCTGTAATTTTGAATGCTCTTTCCTAACAATGGTAGATGGTACAACGCTGGTAGTAATATTAGCTATATAGAAGTTGAACGTTATGTATTTTTAGATTTTGATTACAAATTTGGTTGTGTGTATTTCCATGCCTTTCTTAACTTCATATAATGATTATATTCAAGTTTCGATAAAAGCAGTAATATACATGTAAAAGAGACTTAGTTGGATAGTGTCTTGTAATTGTCTTTAGGTTTCTGACTTTCAAACCAGTTAGACTTATATGCCTTCAATAAATCATCACTATTTTATCTAGTTCTATAAGACCAGATTCTCGAATTCACATATAAAGTAATTGGCAATATTTTCAACATTGTCTTTCTACTTCGTTTAGGATTTCTGGATTTTGATTACATATAAGAGAGCTATTAATGGCTTATTCAAATTTTTGCGCGATCCTAAAGGATAAACCTTAAATCAGACTCTAAATACTTGCTCTCATACTAACAAACTAATTATGTGTCATGTTTATCTTCCCTTGTGACATTTTTATTGATGTTTTGTCGCTATTTACTTAGTATGCTATGGCTCTATGGTTATCCCCATAGCTCTTCCCTATGATTGGTAGTTTTATTTTATCAAAAACATACTTGGTGACTATTAATGCAGTATATTTACTCGGTAACTAATGTTTTTTTATTTCAAAGATTTGTTTTCTGGTTACATTTAGTTGCTGGGTAGAAGTTCTATTGCTATCCGTGCTATTGGTAGCTTTATTTTTATCCAAAGATACTTGCTAATGGGTATTACAATTGTTTATCGCAAATAATTATTATTGGTAAAAAATAATTGATATTTCAAGGACTAAGTAATATGTGTATCTGTTAATCATGTTAATATATTCAAACATTAGAATATAAATCATATACTGGCCTGTCTAATAATTATCACGTAAAATTGGTTACTATATTAGCTAATTCCTTTAAGGATGTTATTAATTTTCAACTTATCACTTTTAAATTAGAATAAGCATTTGTTATTATCACATTTTTATTTGTTTGATATTTAGTTGTAGCAAATGGGGAAATTGTGTAATCGGTTTGTGATTTTGTTTTGGGGTTGCTGTCAAATAAATAACAGTACATGGCTTTACAAAAATAACACCAATTTCTCCAATTCAGTGGATATGGAAATATTTGGTTTTTTGAATACGTTGGAAAAGAAAGCTACACAATCGGTAAATGTAAAATCAAACCAAAATTTGAAACCTTTTCTGAATGTTAAAACACCCCTTCTTCCCATGTGTCAACAAAATGGTCACAAAATGTGAAAATCGTTCAGTGTGTAAACAAAATTGCCACAGAATGTTTGGAATAAGACACTTTACTATTCGAATTCTAAACGAATTAACCCGGGTGGTGTATATCTGTAACATGAACGTAAATTAGTAATTTAGGAAGATTTGTTTCTAATTTGTTAACACATTCATGCATGTGGAAAGCCACGATTTGGAAATTGAAATAGTTGTTGTTCCTCTACATGGCAAACAGCTCAAATATGTTTTAGGTTCAAGATAGGATTTCAGATTTTGTAAATGGTTTGAGGTCTAACTTTAGAACTAAGAGAAAAGGCATTATAATGCATGCTGATAGATTTACAGTTTTTCTACAAAATAGATGTATACGTCGTCTATGTTTCATTGCTTTCTTGTTTATTTGATCGGATAGAATACCAAATTATTTGTTCAAAGAGTGTTTTTGTTTGTGTAATTTTCGAAACAGTAAATAGTATACCATATTATATTAAATAGATAAAATGGGCGGTGGTTTATTTAACAGATAATTCTATAGTATTGAGGGTCATTTCATTTTGTATTACAATGGACCGAATAGTAATGAACATGGCGCATTGTCATTTATAATCTAAATATGAGTTTTAATGAAAATTGTGTCTTGAATTACTAAGTAGATGTAGTTGTTAGTGTAATGAAAATAATACACGAATCTAATGCTTATAAGTGATAAGATAAACTCTTAATGTGTTCTTTAAGGTTATTAAGGTAGAAGTGACGTCACTGTAAGTGTTTAATACTTGGTACTGACACTGTAAAATAATTAATTATAAACTACTTATTATTTTCTAAAAATATAATATGATAAATGGTTTAGCTTATTTATTGGATTGAAAAAGTAAACGTATTGTGGTCCATATATTCATCTGCAGTAGCCTAATGTTATTCAAAGATATGAGAATAGTTATATGATCCTTCTATAGTTAAGAAGTGGTAGCAGGTGTTCACCAATGTTATTTCCAACACTAAAAAGGAAACGTTAACTGAAACATGATTTGATTACTGTTCACAGAACATTGTTCAAATTATCGGATAAAAGATGACTCTTGTCTTTTTTTCTTTTTTTTTCTTTTTTTTTTTAAATGAAAAACAAGGAAACCGTCATTGTTTATTTCATGAAACTGTGTACCCACTCAACTGCACCATTTGTTATTCATATTTCGTAAAATATGGTGAGAAGTATAACTGATAAAGTTTGTCTGTTAGGGTAAGTTAATGCTACACTGTATACACCAGTGGAAAATGTTCGCAATCTATTAATTTGTCACAAAAATTCAAATATAGATGTTCACATAAGTAGCTGTCGCAGTGAATTTTATAGGATGACCTCTTAACACTTAACAACATTGACAATATAACCTATAAAATGAGTGTCGCTTTCTTTCAGGAAACTGAATAGAATTGAAATAGATAAATAAGTTTTATTTAAAGTGAAATTTTGCAGAGATTTTAGAATCCCCTCCTTTTGCAGAATGAATTTATACATGGTTTGTTTTAATAGGTATTACTTCATTTAATATATCTTCTCCACATTGTAGATTTAGTCAATGTTGAGGTATGTCCCGTAAATGTTTCGGATGTTGTTTGTGTCATTAAACAAACGTGTAACTAACTTAGCTTGCTGGTGGGAGATCCTATCATTGTTTGACATAACCATCAGATTTTACCAAATTGACAATTTATTATGGTGTAAATCTTCTCAATTTTGCCACTTTAACTGCAAATCGATGAAACCGTTCATGTAGGAAATTCTACTAAATAGATGAAACAGATTACATTTAGATTTACTTTTGGCTTTACAATTCATGCTTTAGAGATTCGTCATGTTTATTTTCAGAAAGAACCTTAAATTACTTCATTGCTAAGATCCTTAAAACTGGTTTAACTACCCACCCGGGGTTTAATGTCATTCCTCGCATCTTATAATCCCAACCAATAGCTAATAAAACCTTAATGTACATGTAACACCTTGTCGATCATAAACTCAGGCATAGTGAAAGTATTTTAGGTTACATAAAGTAATAGACCAATTTTATATTAATACAATCTTCCAGGCCCTATTTTTGAATGAATCATTGTTAGTAAAATTCGAGACCATATAGGTGGTTATAGAAATTTAGCAAAATAAAGCTCAAAGCAAGCATTTATTTAACTGAAGATAATGAACATTATTTTATCACCAAAGGACATCAGTTTTATAGCGTGAACAATAATCACCATAAGGCATTGGTTTATGGATCATTGCTTTGGCTGTTATGTTAAATTAGTTTTATTTATTCTCACCGAATTTGTCAATTATTTTTGATCAACAAAAAAGTGTGATAATTTATCTCCTGGAATAAAAAAACGGAAAGCGGCCCCAAAAACTTATAAGTAAGTAGATACCGCAGTTTGGCGGCTTGCTTGGTACCTTATATTTTTAGCTACAAGAACAGCGACCTTGGTT